GCTAACACCAGAACAGCGGTTGGGACTCTATGAACCGGGTTTTCGACGTGATAAAGGCAGTGATAGTTAGCTCATGTTAGCACAACAGGGTGAACCAACCAATTTAAAGCCATTCAAACATTAAACTCGGCGACAATGGAGTTAACATTTCTCGACTTTAAACTTATCTTTACTAATAAAAGTTAACGGCGGCGATGTGTTAGCAGCGCTTGTGTTAGCATTCAGCGTTAGCATCGTCTTAGCTTTAGCTTCAGCTATGAATGAGAAGACGCTGTCGGCGGCCACTGCAAAGATGAGTCCGCCGAAAAAACTCTTGGCGGTTTTCCAGATTCACGCCACGACAACATCCGCGTGTGACACATCGATCTGGTGACACTGGTGTATTACGGAAAGCTCGGATATCTTGGACCTTTATGCTCTCACCTGTTGTCACGGACGCCATGTTGCACACAATACTGTATCCGCTCCCTCGGTGACGTAACTTCCGCCGGAGCCATGAGAAGCGGTGGTATTTTTATGAGACGACGCTAGAGAGCGACACAGGCCAGGCTCTGCTCCGAGACACAGTGACGATATCTGGAACTCAAACCAGTGACATCACCCAGCGCTGACCTTCATCTCTCAACCGTGAGGGTTTTCTTCATTATTGCTTGGTTGCATGTAGTTTGTCAGTATTTTAGTTCGTGTTGGGTACATTTATCACGATTAGCCACTAAACCAGGGGAGCTATTATACCAGAGAGAGCTCAACTGCATATTCTTTTAAAGTATGCAACTAGAAATAAACACGTGCATATTAATAAAACAGCGTCATCAATTTCACCCTGGCTGTAGTTCAATGCTTTGTTCATTTCTGTATTTGTGAATTTTTGCGTCGCATGTTGTTGTTGTCAAATGAATTGTTGTTTTCGGAGTTTGCTGTCGTTGTTACTTTATGCAGTGCGTTTCTGTATTTGCACGTGTGGGACCGCAACTGCTCGTTATTTTCATAATTTATCTTTTAGTCTGGAAATTTTCCTTATGGAGTATTTTGATATGATATGATGATGTAATCATTCAAGCAGTTCCCCAAAGGCCAAGGTAATGTCTTCAAATGTCACGTTTGTCCGACTAACTGTCCACAGCCCAAAGATTATCTATTCATTTTATTATTCCACATAAGATTTCAAATATTCTCATTTGAAGTTGGGTAGTGAACATTAATGTTAGATTAGTAAGAAAAGTGTTGGATTGCTAACGCTGGCTATGAAGCAATAGCAAAGGCTTTTAAATATCCCCTCTAATGGTAAAGTTTTTATTATTTTTTTGTAAACCAACATACTTATTATTGTGGCGATTATTTCATCGCTATACCACTGGTTGGTTTTTTGTAGCATGAGGAAATATTGAACCTGCCATACTGGGGTCATTAAGGGCACATTTGTTTGCCCCAAGGCCTCAAGAGGTCAAGCCTGCAGTAATGTTTTGTACATTTGTTAATCAAATTATAACTTTGACAAACAAGATACTTGAGAACATCATCTGGATTTCTGGAGAACTGTGACATTTTATGGATTTAACCACCTCTCAATAAAATAATCAGCAGATTAACAGATTAAATGAATAACAACAAATGTTCATACAAACACATGATCACTTTTCTAGTCCATGCAAAGTTCCAGTAATGTGGTATCTTTAATTTTTAAATACACATGCAAAGAATAATGCATAGGTCAAAGAGCTCAGTGAAGATCAAGCATTTAAAAGCAAGAGACATTTACCTTTGTAATACGTTTATTTATGTAATTTGTTCACAAATTGGAAAGGAATAGCATTTGGTCAAGCCATCATTAAAGGGCACAGCTCACCCAGCTTTTCCATTCTAGAAACTGTGAGAAAAGCTTTTTCATCTAAACTTTTACAGGGCATCAAAAAGACCCAGAAGCTGGAATATGGACAGATCAGATGGCAAGAATGGAAAGAGTGACATAGCAAAGATGTCATATAGACTTTGGTCCTCTTCAGAATCAGGAGTGTAAACAACAGAAAATTAAATTATAAAAATAAGTGAACAGTACTTTAGAAATTCTATGCACTGATTGGATATCAGAGCACCTTCATAGTATTTATTAATTATAAATGACACCTGCAATCAAAGACATATCCAGAACAAGTGTCCTCATACTTGTCACTCCTCTAATCTCAAAATACATCATATCCTTTTTCCAGATGTAACAAAATTGCAACCTTTGATCCCAGAAAAAAGAAGTTAACGTAAATGTTTGCAAAAAAAGGAAAATACGGATTTAAATTATGGTTCATAATAAAAAACCATGACTTTTTGAATTGGAGAAAACCTCGCTGGTCATCAATAATGGATAAATTGTAACACAATTTCCTAATGGATATTGTCTCAAAATAAAATATTACAATCAGTATTAATATTGTAACATAAACTGTTAATTAAAGCAATACATCATCACACTTGACATATAGTAGCAGTCAGTTTGAGCACAGCATGATTTGCTACATTATGTTTATCCAAGAGGACAATAAGTATTGCATGTCATACCAAGGAGAGTATGAAATTAGACCATATATGGGACTTCTGGAAAATTAGAAATATAAAGCAACATTCCCCTCATCATAGAAAAATAAGAAAGCTCTGGTTCAGTTGACACATAGCCATTGTACAGTACAGGTAAGTGCAGGCAGTTTCCATGTCTTATAACTGGTACATAAATATTTCTCCTTTTCTTCTTTGTCAACTTGTCCAATTCACAAGCCAATTCATTTGTGATCAGAAGATTATGGGAAAAAAAAGCAATTTCAGACAACTTCAATTAAATCTAAGGCAAAGGAATTAAATGAAAGAGTGTCACATGTTGTCTGGTGATCAGGGGGCGTTAAGTGTGAAGAGCAGGTACAGCCTAAGGGCCCTCCGGGATCTGTTTCAAAGATATAGCGGTCAATTGATATGAAACTATAACAATCATTTCTGGACTCTCAGAGCTCCTTTCAGAATAAAACATCCCGATGAGACGAGCAGCATGAAAGCCTCTGCAACAGCAATGTGTGACCTTCAATCGTACAACTTGAAACTGCCTTGTCATAATACTATAGTTAGCACCACAAAAACCTATATACATGAGAACTATTGAATATGTCTAATGGTTATAGTCACACCAGAACATATTCTCATCACATTTGCATTTTGAGAAACATCAAAAGGCATCTCCAACATCTGTATAGACACAGTTGTTCAACATTTGAAATAATGAGGTCTGCCCATTTTCTGACCACCAAGAGCCAAAATTCATATGATTGATCTGGTCATTGCCTTAAATAAACTGTTTATTTATTAAAAATAAGGTTTCTTATCCAGCAGATACAATCACAATGAGTTTTTTTTAACTCGATAACACATTTGCTTGAGTACAAGAATGGAAAAACTTTAACATGAAAATGTTCATATCAAGGCTAAAGCTGCAGTTATCCTTCAAAACACACATTTCAGACAAGAAACAACAGTGGTACTGAGTGATATGTTTATACTGGACAGAAAAGCATACTGGGTATGAAATACTGTCCGTAAATGAAACAGGTTAGTCATCACGCTGTAGTCTGAACACTTTTAATGTGTATTGACAATCACACTGATTTTTTTCCCCCTCGTTTTGCATCTGCTAAGGGTAAGTGGGTAAGTGGCATCAAGGTGTCAGTAGATTTGGGACAGACCTCACAGAGAAAAACAAACAAAGAAAAGGTGTAACCACAACCTTCTAACATCAGAATCATAAACATACATTTAAAGTAAGTGGATAGTGCTTTATATTGTTTATAAAACATAAATACACACTGATAGAGGCAGGGACATTGTGCTTCATGTTAGAGGACAGGGCAGTTCTTTAAATCTAATATAGTTTTGTTTGTTNATCAGAATTTCCACATATATGTTTGTAATTTGATGTCAGTTCCATAAACAACCTTTCTGGAAAACGAGCCAATGTATTTCACACATAGCCACAGTCCATTTTTATGTGTCTTTTAGTGTTTGGTAAATGTTCCTTCTCAGTTAAATTGTGTTAGATTTATTTCTTCTACACGTCTCATAGTTCTAGGAGCAGTTCCAGGTATTGATTTTGTTTCAAAGGTGACAGAGCGACCGTTTGTATGGCAGCAATAACATTTTAAACTAACTAAGCTCAAGAATCAACGCTGCTGTCAGAGCAAATGTTTGGAAAAATAAAGCATAATTATAGATTCAGACAACAATTAGTCAACGTTTTTAATCACCTGAGTTGATTGTCTGTGAAATAACCAAAACACTCTCTTTATCCATTTTTCTTTCTTTGCCTTTATAAAAAAAAAGCACCTCTGTCATCGCTTAACTGCCAGCATTTCTTTTTATTTTATCTAGGAGGCAGCTGATTCAGTCGCATTATTGATTTCTATAAATGTAATCCATTACTCTCTAATTAATATGGTAATTATGCATGTTCCTGCTTTTGGAAATTAAAACCTTTGTGATTCTTTATGTTTTTGTTGTAATCTCTGCTGTCTTAAACCATCCACAGTGTTCAGTCCTCTCAGTCCTGATGTCATTACAGAGGTCACATTGTTTTAATTAGCAAAAGTTAAGGGCTTATGGGAAATACTGTTTTCATAATAGCTACTAATAATAGAAATAAAAAACGATGGAATGGAAAAAACATTCTCATCAACAACTGGAATGAAGCATGTGACAGATTATTGAGTGAGGTTATGGTCCCAGAGCTGGATATTTAGATAATAGTAACAGTAATGAGGAAACCTCTTGATTAAAAAAATATAAAAGTTAAAAAAAACCATGGAGCGGCAACAGTAAGAGAGAAAGCAGAGGTCATTGGAAAACAATTAAACACACAAACATACATTAACATTAAAATATATAACAGTTCTCACTTGAACATACAGGAAAAACAAATTTTACAAATTCACAGGCAAAGAAAGGACGCTCACTCCACAACAATCGGCCCATGGTTTTTTTTGTTTTTTTTATCCTCTTTTGTTTCCGGGTCTTGCTTTGTGCTCTCTCGCCACATCAACCTCAATAAAGAAAGAAATAAACGGGCCAGGTGCCTCCGAGTGGTCGCACTCACAATAAACGCACCCCCAGCTCGTCTGCGCTGAGAGAACAGGGGAGGTACAGAGACCACTGAGCCCAATGCTTAGAGGTTGTCTGAATCACTACAAAAAAAACATCTCCCCTTTGAATAAAAGGCATCGGTTCACATCTGATTGATTCTCAGCAAAACTCAGAGCCGGTGCGATGCAACAAAACGTCTGTATCTTCAGTTCAAATGATGGTGTGAATATGCACACATAGGCCCAGGGTGATGAAGCTCTGTGGTATGGAGGTGTGTTTTACTGAGGTCACCCTCCCACACGGTTGGCAAGAGCAGGATGTCTTTTCTTTCCTGTTTTTGATTTTTTTTTTTTTTTTAAAGATTTTAGCTCTTTCTTTGTTTTCAACATTTGGTTCCAAAAAACGATGGTTCTCCCTCAACTCTCCATTTGAGTCCGTCCAGATTGCTAGCACCTCCTTCATCCCCTCTTGTTAAAATCTCTCTCCATCCACTTTTAATCTATATCTTCATCTTGTAAACATGGCTCAGCAGAGGACAGCGGCATCCATCTTGCATTTTGGGTTAATCAATTATTTGTCTGTGTGCGTGTGTTAGAAATATTTAGCTGCTGCGCTGTGAGGATCAGAGATAGAAGATAATGGTTCTTCTGTATGTGTATGTGTCCATGTCCTTGTATGAGAGGGTGCAAAAGGACGCGTTAGTTGGGCCGGCATTCACTCAAGGTCCCAGGGGCTGGAGGGGGTCTTCGGGCTCTCTGGGGTTGAAGACTTCAGAGAGAGGGAGAAACACAGAGAAAGAAGAGGAGAAAGAGAGGTGGGTAGAGATGGTTTGCATGGCAGGTAGGCAGATGGCAGAAGTATTTTTTAAAAACAAAGAAAGAATGCACCAGAATTAGCAGAGCCTGTGATACTCAGTTCCCCAATGTGCCAAGTCCAAGCAGTTAATGAAAGAAGCGGACGGAGGTCGAGCAGATGAAGGGTTAGAGGTAAGCGAGCGACCAGCAGTCTCCCACAAAAAAAGACCCGGAACAAAGTGTCCTTCGTCCCTCTCTCAGATTTGCATAAATACATTCAGCAAGAGGAAGAGGGGAGAAAGTGATGGCAAAGGATGAGAGAAAGAGCACTGGAAAGAGGGCAACCGACAGAGGGAACAAGGTGGGGGCTGTGGTGCTTGTTAGAGTGAGATTATGGTATTTTACTGTAAGTGGTGAAGATTCAGAAATTTGATTGTGTATTATCATGTTAATTCAGAACACTTGCAACTTGGACAGGGTTTTTCATTCACTTCTCTTGTCCAGTTGCGGGAATTATGATAATACAATACCAGAATGTATTCAATCTTCATGCTCAATATTAAGGGTTTGTATGGCTCTTTTTTGGAATGCATTTCAGAATGCGTAAACTTTAACCCAATCAGATACAAATGACTGTTTTTTTCTTAATCTGTGAGACTGATTACTAGCCTCTACTTCCAGCGTGTACAATGTATATGCGTGTTGATATGTGTGTGCATGTTTCTGTCGGTCAGTCAGAGCGCCAGCAGAGAAGGCGAGTTCAGGGAATCAGATGACTGCTCGCTACTGCTGTTCCTCTGGTTGGCACTGACCCCGCAGGCTCCCTCTGGGTAGGTGAACACAAATGAAGATGTGTATGAGGTGTTGTAGCTGCCAATGGCGGCATCGTCATGGTTACCACCACCACCGTCGCTGGCCATAAGGCACGGCCTACCAGGTGCTGGCTCACTTGAGCCATAGAAAGAACTAGAAAACTCTACCTCCTGCATTATCCCTTGCTGAGGTTGCTGCTGAACTTGCTGCTGCTGAACTTGCTGCTGCTGAACTTGCTGCTGCTGAACTTGCTGCTGCTGAACCAGAGGCTGGGACTGTGTGGAGGCCGGATGGGGGGTGTAGGCAGGAGGCAGAAAGAAAGAGTCTTCCTTCACGGTCAAGCCCACAATGGAGACAGGAGGTTGCAAGGTCTGGGGAGGGAGCTGGGCCTGGACCAGAGGGAGCTGCACTGAGCCCTGCGGAGGCTGCTCCTGGTATTGGATCTTACAGGTCGGCTGGTGGGCCACCAGGACAAACTCTAGGCGCTCCTTCTCCTTCTGCAACTCACAAATCTCGGCCTCCAGCTCAGCCTTCTCCTCCTCCAGAATGTCTGTCTCCTGTGGGCAGGTACAGAGAATGATAGGACAGGGGCAAGGGAGCAAGACACAGATAGGTGAAATGGGTAGAGGGGGAAGAGAATAGGCAGGACAAACAGAGAGGATAGGAGTGTTATATACACCAAACTTCTACTTCAGTATTTGTAGAAATAACTTCCTCACCTGTTATTATGTAAAGTGGCTAATATAAGAGCTTATTAATCAGGCCATAAATATTGTAGGTACAATAGTCTGACTTTAGATAAATAGTGCATCAGCACAATTCTCTTTCTTATTCATACATATTAGCACACAATGCTATAGGAAGTAACCTAAATTATGTACTTATGATCATTACTAATTCTGGCAGCTAAAACAAGCTCACCGACTGCAGTCTGTCTGTGAGTTCTCGTCTGCGGTTCCTGCATTTGGCAGCAGCCAGCTTGTTTCTCTCTCGACGAACACGCCTCTTCTCCTCCTCCTCAGGTGTTAGCTAGGATGAAGATGAAAATAAATTTGATTAGATTTAAAGTTTTATCTTTGCTCTCTGAAATGTTTTCAAATTGTCCAAGCAGTGATGGTGGAGACACTTGATGGGGGGCAGGCAGTGTGACTGCTGTGGCCTTATAAAGAAAAAATCTTAATTTTTCTCTTGCATATTAGCATTATATTTTATCAGCCTAATTTCGTACATATCAGAAAGTATCCATGCCCCTGAAGGTTTAGGGCACACCACTGCTTAACAGCACAGTCAATAGAAGTCAGATCATATTTTTTAAGTGCTCATGTAAATGCTAAACCTATGTAGCATGTGTAACATGTGAGGGTCAACAAACAAACCGTTCAAACACACACACTTACAAACACACCAACATCTTCATCGTCACTCACAGACTCGTCGCGCGTGCGGCGGCTGCGGGTTCGAGACTGGCGCATAGGGCCCGGGGCCGGGCCTGGAGTGTCTGAACTCGGAGGAGTGAATCCAGACCTCAAGGAGTAACTGGGGCCTGGCATGTCATATGGGTCAACTAGTGACACTGGCTGGGTCATGGTTGTGGTGCCAGTAGACCCACTCTGTCCAGAGGCCTGGGAAGCAATGAGGGTTGGCTGCACCATCCACTGCAGGTCCTGACTGGTGGTGATGGCGGTGACGGTTGGCACGAATGAACCGGGCATCTCCCCTCCAGCACTAGTCCCTAGCTCGCTGCCCACAATGCTCAAGCTAGCTCCCGCTGACACACACTCCTGAGGATGAAAAATATAGAAAATCTGTAAGTTCTTTGTTAAAGTACAATCAAGACCTAGGCTAGTGTAGCCTATAGGAAAGATACATGGCAAAACATAAAAATGGTAAATATTTCCATATGGTAGTAGTAATTATGACAGTAGTTATGAAATATTCACTCCATAAAATTATAGTTTAAGCAACCATAGCCGGCTATTTATAAGTATAGCCAAATATGCATGGGGACTTAAAATAAAATGTTGCCTTTAAATCAATGTAAGTTTGATGTAACTTTATATAACTTGAATAATATAAAATGTTTTTTCAGAAACCTAGAAAAGTGTATCAACTATGTGATAAGAGGAAATAGCCTATAGAAGACTTCACAATTACAGGGACAATGACAAGGGGAAAGTGGCAGTAAGTGAGTGTTGTATCTTCTGTAAGATAATGATAATTTCACTATAGTTTTAAAATGGTTTAAACAAAGTTTTTGATACATCACTTCTTTTTTGTTGTTGTTTAATTTTAGACCTGAAGAGAACACTGTCATTAATATTCATACAACAGAGTGTGGAGAGAACATGACAGGCGGCTCTGAGAGGGGACGCCTCGACCAATCGTCTCTCTCGGCCGGAGACTTTCCCCTCCTCCTTCCTCCTCCGCCGTCACACCCCCGGTGTTCCCCTTGGCAACGCAACGTAGCAGTCCAAAATAGAACGAGCATTTACGTCACGGCGAGGCCTGTGAGAGGAGAGTGGAGCGCGTGGAAGGAGGGGGCGGGGCTCCGGCGATTACGTTCCAGAGCGCTGTCATCCGTTCTGCGGACCGAGCACGTTGTCAAAGCCTGGTAGCGAACACCGTGGCTACCGGGAGCTACCGGGGGCTACCGCAGGCGACACATACAGGAGAACGCACACCGATCCAGTGGTGGACCTATACAACTTTATATCTGACTACAGGAACGCGGTACTACAGTTGAATGGCTTCCTAACACCACCAGCCGTCACAACAAATAAAGCACAAGTCATATTAGGGTCTGAGTCATATATTGTTCAGTGTCAGCGCTTTGTACATGACACCTTTTTTCATCCTGCAAATCTCAGATTGGGCTACACACTTGCTAATTTAGTTTATGCCACTATAATAGTAGCATAATTTGGCTGTGCTATTTTGCCTCTAAACACAATTCCAGATACAAACCGTGCCTAATAATAGCTAATTAAACCATGTGCTAAAAATAACATATATATGATATATGGCGATGGCATGCATATTGTTTTTTTTAAAATCTTGAAACATGTTTTTTTATTTAGCCTATATGATGGTATTAGCCTACTTCATGCTTAGACAAGGTGTTTCTGGCATAGGCTCCATGCATTATGTTTCCTTAAAAGTCTCTTAGCTTACCTGCGGAGCACTGGTGGTCGGCGGGCTCCCGAAGGAGTCCACGGAGGAAAGGCACTGAAACTCTATAGATGGAGACGAGCTTCCACGGGATCCGCTGTCAGGGTCGCCGGGGAACCCTTGGTACATCGCCCCGCAGGGACTCAAAGAGAACGCGGGACCTGCAGTCACAGAGGAGACCCCCGTGTCACACAAAGGCATGTTACTAAAGGTGCCAGTGGCTGGTTTTATCGGACATGCTGTTCACGAAGTATTGTAAAAGTTGGACAGTGCACCAGACAGCGTCTGCATAGAGATGTGGATCATGGACAAAACGCTCCAATAACACACGTTTCATGCGTAAAAACGCGTCGATTTATTGCGTGAAAGTAACATGTTTAGGGTGAGATGTCTTTTAACATCTCGTATTACCAGACTACCGGGCAGCGGTGGACACATGTTTCCGACCTACTTTAACAACGCGGTACTTTTTGTTCGGTTTATCAACATAAATTAACGACTTACCGTTGCTGGTCTTGTTATTTCCAGGTGAGAAGCTCTTGGTTTCTCTCCAAAAAAGTTGCATGAAGAAGCTTAATCCAGTTTTCCCCGCGTTTCGTGGGGAAAGTGTCCCGGTTGAGCCCGATAAGAAGTCCTCTCGTTCAGCTACAAAATCCTCGCTTCGCTCGCCTCGATTCGCTCCTCAAACATCCGATTATAAATCCATAAAGTCCGCCGGAGGACGTGAAGTAGTATTACGGCGCACGGTAGCAGACCTTGTCTTATGAATGAACCATCCTCCTGAGTACAAACAAGGCATTTCTAGCGTCTTCGCCCCGCCTCGGAGTTCCGCTGATGACGTACATGTGCCCATATTTGTACGTTGCTGTTGTGTTTGGTATCCTTGGTGACGTGGAGGGATTCCCTCTCACAGTCAAACGGACCAGCAGCTCACCTCGCCGACGGATAATAATATATTTTTTTTTACTATCACGGGTACGAGGTATTTCTCACTGTCTGACAATTTCTGAGAGGAAATTTCAAGAAAGTTCAGAGTGATAAATATGGAAAGTATCTACTTAGGACTGTTCTTAGGCGTCTATAGTTAGGAACATTGTTGGGGGTCGTGGCCACGTCATTACATTGTAATATTCCTATAATATCTACAGTTCTGTGTAAGCAAATATTTGGGGAGGGTGGTTGCCTTGCGTGTTTTTCTATGTTTTAGGCTAAATAAACAGAAAAGATAATAGCCTTTGGGCTCTCAAAGGTAAATATTATCTTGCCTGTATCATGCGGAAAACGTCAAATGAAATCCACCGACGGGTCTATACGTCTGTTGACTGTGTATAACCCTTCGAGCATGCGAGGGAAATCCTTCTGAGGAATTTCTCAGGACACGCCCTGGGGAATCCTCTGATGGGAGGAAGGAATCCGTTTCATCCATGTGTGAACTGAACCTGACGTCAGGCTCAGTGTCGAGTATAGATCTACAGAAGGTTCAGTGCATACATATGGATGTGAGTGTAGGCAGGACTCGGCAACATCAGTAGCCCAATTCAGCAGAAACATAAAAAACAGCCCATAGATCGGTCAACAGAAGTGTGATTGTGACATGGACAGTGGGCAGCAGTGACGGCAATCGGCGCCTGTCACTGCAAACATCACCGAGCAGAAAGTGATTCATTTGTATAGCCTACATGCGGACACCAGTGGGAATGTGGAAGGTGGGAGGTTTGCTTTTTGGGGAGAGGAGAGGATGGGGAGAGAGGGGGGGGGGGGGGGACTCCACGGGCTAATTTCGGGAAGAAAAGATGGCAAGCGACGAATGAAGAGCTATAATACGGATCCTACGCGTTCTCTCTTTTTGTGGGGTTGTGATGTCAAACAATGTGTCACGGGGCGGGCATGCTGCTGTGTAAGGACTCTACGGCTCCACGTGCGAACTGGCCCGGGCGAAAAGGGAAAGAGCTGCAGATAGCAGGTTATTAGTCAGCGCTGCGGCGACGTCAAAGAGGATCCATGGAGGACACGGTGTCCCATCCGGGCTCCTGTTACCGGCGCGGTGCCGAGCTGAACCACCGGGATGACGCAAGTTGTTCACGATGTCGGGGGGGGGGGGCGATAAGAAATCTCCGAGGTAACTACTAACTACTAATGTTTTTTTAAAGATAATAAATGTAATGAAAGTTGTTGACAACATAACATGTTTCACTTTTTAACAGCCTACGGTGTATAAATAAAAAAAACTGCAAGGATCGCCCGGTTAAACGAGTTATTTCGGCTAAAACAAGCGGCAGGGACCATGTGCTATATCCACCGGTCTGATGCATGTGTGTAGCGTTTCGTCGCCATGGATACGCCGTTGCCTCTGACGCAAGCACGTATAAATTTGGTTCTTTTTTGTTATGGCGCCTAGCAACCGGTTTCTGTGGTAACCGGCTCTGAGTGTGTGACAGCAGCGGCCACACAATATGGCTTCCGGATTCTTTCTGTGCAGCGAACAGGAGAAACTCCGATTGTGTTCCAACGATGATTGTTGTCGTTTCTAGCGCAGGTCAGACCGTCAGCGGCCATTGTCTCGCGGGTTGTAACGTCAGGCAGTTTTGGAGGAAAGTTCTTTTGACGTTGTTGACTTTCGCCAAACTCGCGTGTTGTTCCGTCCTTGTCATTTCCTGTAAAATGCAAATATGCACAAGCTTCGGTACACAGATGATTGCGTTGTGTTGTTATCGTCGCGTTGTAAATGTGTAGGAACTGAATGGAACCATGGAAAACCTTTTTTATTAATTTAATAAACCGATTCTACGTCAGACAACACGATTAAATGAGCCATTCTTACCACGGACAAGTGGCTACAGCAGGTGATATTTTATAGAAAAGGTAATCAGTTTTGACTCTGCAGGTTGTTTTGCATTGAATTGATGGTATTTAAATGTTCTTTATTTCGTAAAAATATTATTTTTTCAATGAATCCTTGTCAGACCACATATAAATACATATAACAATAAAACAATCATGCACTTAAGAGTATCAGTTTTTCACTTTTTTAGTAGTTGTCTCCTGGATTAATTTTATATTTGAGATAGGGCTAACTTTTGGTTGTTTGCATTATCACTTATTATACTCATGTGTAGCTGAGTATAGCTGTCACACAATTCCCACAGTTCCAGGTAACTTTTATATATCTTTTCCAAAATCCCAAATTATTTGGTGTTCAAATTAAAACGCAGGAAATCCTCAATTTTAATGCTAGAATCAGAAAATGTTTGGTATAGTTTCCTAAAAATGACAACAAGATTATTCAATAATCGAAGATGACGCTGGTTAATCTTCTGTCTATCAATTTATCATTGTAGTTTTAATATTTACATTGTAAAATAGACCTGAATTTAAAGTTGTACATATTGCTGCTTGTTAAATCTCTCACATAGCCATGGCTACATTTAGAAATTGGATGAACTGCAGTATGAAATTTTACATTAGACTGCAATCCTGTCTCCGACCTGTAACGTTCCTCGAGAGTTTGTTTGTTTACAACTTGTGGTGGTCTAGACTCCAACCTGGTAAAAAAGAATAGATGCAGTGTTGTCTAATGCCGTTGATGTGCTTTGTTTTGCTTCCCCCTGTCTCTTAGCATATTTTCGGGAAGCCACTAACTTGCACTGTGCTCATGAGGCCAGCCCCTTTTTCCTTTTGGAAGGCGGGCTGTGTTTGCCTGGTGGCCTGCCCAAAATATTTGTTACCAAGCAACGGTTCAGTCGGTCCCACCTCACAGTAGTTTTGTTTACACCCCTTCTGGCTCTATAGCCCAACAACATTGCATAACTCCCAGGCTTTCCCTACCTCGCTGAGAGAAATTTGATCGGTCTGCTCTCCCCAGCCAAGCAAAATGTCTGTTACCCTCATACCATAGTTTTTCCCTCAGCCACTCAACAGTTTCCTTTTGCCTTTGTCTGCAGTTTTCTCTCTGAGCAGTTCTTATTCCAACAGCCAAAACTGAAACTGAGTCAAAGATTGTTCATAACAACGCTATGCTTGACTTGACTTTCAGGCCAGCCTTTGGCTACATGATCTGTTTGTAGGGGGTTCAGGTCTCCCCCTGTAAACATTTAATAACACATCTATTCTTTTCTAAATCCCCTAAATCTTTCTTTGCAATGTGGAAGGCCTTCCTGCAATCCTATGTAAACATGGCTTGTGTACCGTGTATTAACTGAAGTAGTTCAGCTGAAATTAAGAGCAGAGAGTTCTACTTTTATTAATGTTTCAGACGAGCCATACACTTTTGAACTTAGGACATTCCCTCCTTTTTTCGAAGTAGCACTTAAACTTGAGAATGTTCAGTTTGTAGGAACTGTGTCAGCCACACTAATGTCATCTTTTCATATTATTCCATACCCAGTCTTTGCCTCAGTTCATGTAGTTGAATAATACAGGAGTGCAGACTTGTTAAACAAACACACATTTGTTTATATGCAGTATGTTTCTGTCGACTCTGTGTTTTGTAACTGAACCACAGACCAGGAAATGAGCTGAGAAACTCTTCCTTTTTTTGTCAGAGCCAAATAAAAGATGCACTACCTTAGTATCAACCTTCACCTCCCCCTGATTCCCTGTATGGTGCTCATTGTCTAATTCAGACACAGCATCTAGTTATGTGATTTGTGTTTCTTACTTTAGTTGTTTAAAAAAGTTTGGTTTCAGTTAACTTTGACATTATGTTATAGAGATGTTAACATAAGATTGTCGGTTTGTGCTTGTGAGTAACAACATGATCCATCTGTTGATTTTCTGGTACTTATATGGCCATATTTAACCACAGAGCAGTTCACCAAGAAAGTTATGCAAACCTGAATACCTCAGTTGCTTGAGAGTCCTTCCGTTGCAAATATACAGAGCGTCATCTCGTCCCAAAGGATGAGCCCAGACAACCTCAGCAACTCATTTTCTATATTCAACTGTATTTAATCAGGAAGTCCTATTGATACCAAGATTCATAGTGAGACAACCACACAATCAGCATACAAATATATGAGACCAGACAGCCATCAAGCTACAAGTTACAAGAGTCATAAAAGACATCAGAGAGTAAAACTGAGGGAGGTTTCTGAGGGAAATAAAAGAAGCTCGCTGTCTGCAGTTCATGTTTTATTTATCTATTTTATTGATTTCATTATTTTATAGAGACAGTGTAGAGAAACGCTGTCCCCCGTACTTGATACATATGTACTGCATAAAACTAATTTGCAATCTCTCCCTGGTTAGGCTTTTCTAATCCAAAAAGGTCACAATACATTGTTGCAATAAAAATATACATGAACCCAACACACACAAAATAGACATTACCAAATGAGCAAAGCAATCATATGAAATTACAAGATAACAAAAGCATGTGTTCAGCTGCATGATGAGTGAGAGGAAGTTTGGTTTTGTTTCAGCCAGCATTCAACAGTTCTATTTATTTTTTTTTTACATCAGTTTGTGTTTTTATCTCTGTGGGGAGGAAATTCCAAAAACAAGCTCCTATTACTGAGAATAATGATTAGCTGAAATGGATTCAGCACTGTGCCTCTGTGCAACTATCAATCACCGTTCCCTTGGTGATGTGTGTCATTGTGACATATGGCTAGAATACACCTAGGGCAAGATTGTTAAAGGTAGTGTTGGTAATCCTGACAAAAGGTACTCATTAAAAAAAAAGGCAACCGATACATCCCTCCCATCGGCCTTCT